TAGGCGACTGTTATTTCGCTAACCCCACAGTGCATTTTTTCCCTTTTTTTCGTGTTGTATCGATCTTTAATTATGTATAAAGACTTCCAATCGCAACACCTAGGGACCATTTTACCCACTGCTCTGTTTGGCCACCAGTCTCTTTCCTCTCTCTTCAGCAATGGTGAGCAGATACCCTTTCATGGGGAGGAGAAATCCATGGTTTGTTGCCTTTGCCGATAACAAAAGTGTTGGAGAGCCGGGTGGCATCTTTCACGTGAAATACATTAAAAGAACCAGGGTGTCTCTGTTGATGATCACACCAATTCTTCCCAGGTTAGCACCACCAGTCACCATACACAGATTACCCGCGTCAAACTTGATGAAATCAGTAATCTATACAGTCTCTAAATCAATCTGGATAGTGTCATTCACCTTGATGAGTGGATCAGGAGAGCAGAGGGTGCTAGCATCATGGGTGACCAGACGAGGGATTCTTTTGTTTCCATAAAGATCTCTTTCTGCACGGCTTATACTTGGCTTCCTCAGGTGTGATCCAGTGAACAGCAAAGTGACCCTTGGTGTCATAGATCAGGCGGAAATTCTCTCCAGTCTTGTCAATGCTGACGACATCCATCAAACCAGCAGAGTAGGTTATGTTGGTTCGGACCTTGCCATCAATCTTAATAAAATGCTGCATACAGATCTTCTTCATCTCTTGTTAGGGCATGCTTAAGTCTGTTCCTTAGGCAAATGAGAGGGAAACATTGTCTCACCTTATGGGGACCAGTAGATGGACAAGGTGCAAACATATTGGTCAGCTTATCCAGCATCCAGTGCTTTGGAGCTGCTACCTGCTTCAGATGCTTCTTGGGACCACGAGTCATGGCCGAGCTAGGCACCGAAAGAGCAACCTCTCAGTGCTTTTATTCTCCTTGGATACATCCTGGAAATGTAGCCAGTGGCAAAAGAGAGGGCCACATATGCTTCTGTTGGGGTATTGTGGGTATCAGTAGCAGCAGTGACAGCAGGAAACCTTGAGACAGGATCCACTGTAAGAGATGATGACTTTCAGTTTTAACCCGTTGGTGAACCCAGGGTCCAATAATCTTTTGAGGTAAGAAATGTAAATTTCTAACTTGATATTTTCTCAACACTTACCAGCTATATGCTAGCCAGTGTAGAAAACGTGGAATTCAGTCTACAACCCCTGTCCAACAGATTCTCAAATTTAATGTGTTAGACTGAGGGAAAAGCATAATGGTGTGCAGCAAAGTTAAGGAAAAAAACCGAGTTAGGGAGGGGTGAGACATTGCCACAGGTTAACAAAACGTTATCTTGGGTCCTTTGGACAACTCTATCATTTACCTATGTTCTAGATCTTTTAGGAAGTTTCTTGGGAACAGATCCTACATTTTCATCTCATTCACTGCTTTATTCTCAACATCTAAAGTGTTGTTTACCACTCACTAGGTGCTGAATTCATACTTGTTGAATGACTACTGTGAAAACTCAGATCAGAGAGGGGAACTGATACAGTAAAGGTCACAAAGCTGGTTTATGGCAGAGCTGGATCTAGAAACTAGTTTTGATTCTTCATTCTTTCTTGTATCAAATTCAGGAGGCAGCTGGAATGAAAAAATGCAACAAATGAAGCCTCCTGTATGCTGACTTTGTATCTTCCACATAATATTTCTTCTTCCTATATGAAATACCATTAACCAAATCTATCAGTTTAGTGTCTGAAATGTGAGTCAAGAGAACTGAGTTCTTGGGGCGCCTGGGTGGCTCAGTCGGTTGAGCGTCGGACTTTGGATCAGGTCATGATCTCGCCGTCCATGAGTTAGAGTTCTGTCGTCGGGCTCTGCGCTGACAGCTTGGAGCCTGGAGCCTGCTTCAGATTCTGTGTCTCCCTCTCTCTTTGCCCCTCCCCCACTCATGCTCTGTTTCTCTCTCTCTCTCTCTGTCAAAAATAAATAAACATTAAAAAAAGAGAGAGAGAGAGAACTGAGTTCTGTTCCTAGTTCCTCTATTCACTCCCTTTGTCACTGAGGCAAATTACTTACCCTGTCCAAAATCAGTTTCTTCTTCTGTCATGAAAGAGCTAAGCTTCCTTTCATTTCTCATGTCCTAGGAGTCTAATTTCATGAAAGCTAATCAATAAGCTCACCCACGGATCATATGTCTGAACATCCTGCTATCAGTGTTCCTGGAGTGTGGTCAGCATATCACCTGTATCAGAATCATCCCAGTCCTTTAAATATGCTGAGTTTGCAATTGTTAAAGAGAATAAATAGTTGCTGATTTGGAGGGATTCCCATTAGGCCATACTTCCCAACTCTTTTCACTTCTATAGATATGGTACACATAAAAAGTGATAATGTTGGGACTCCTGGCTCCCTCAATCAGAGGAGCATGTGACTCTTGATCTTGGGGTCGTGAGTTCAAGCCCCACATTGGGTGTAGAGATTAAATAAATAAAAACTAAAATAAAGTGGTAATATTTATGTGGTATACTGGGGTAAGAAAGCTTAGACTGTCTCTTTGCCAACACACATTTCACTGAGAAGCTGCCAGAAGTAACACTGAGTGAGAAAACCAAGTTGCAGAAAAATATGTATATGATCCATTTTCAAGATAATGCCAAAACTCTGTATATGTAATATGTCTACATGAATATTGTTATATTATGTGCATGTAGATATACAATTTTATAAGAATATTGAAAGGATCATACCAGGTTGTTAAAGAAGGGTAAGACAGAAGGGGACACAAAGAATAAAGAGAAAAAAAAGTGAAAACACCAGTATGTATGCTATGAATCCATTTATGCATTTATGTAAAATAATGTATTTGTAGATGAAGACATTTAAAAAATTAAAAATGCAGATCCGTTAAAGCAGAATTTAAAAGATAGGCGATGGGAAGAGGTGGGTGTCTGCATCATTAATAAGTATTCCAAGTGATTCTGTAACAGTCAAGTCTGTAAATCTTTGTATTAGATGCTAGTGTCATTAGCTGTAAACACAGTGTATTTGGAAATTTCCATCCTGCAATGCAGGCTCAACTGGTACTCACTGTCTTGGAACATAGTAGATGCATAATAAATAGCTGCTGATTTTTTGAGTCATTTGGAGGATAGGTGAAGGGAGCGAGGGCCAAAGTGGTGAGAGAAGCAGGTCATCTGGGCAAGGTCAAGTTCAGGAGAGATGAAGCAAAAAGCATACCAGAACAAATGGGTTGGACCCTCATGCCATTTTCAGACATTCAACCTGTATTTGTTAGGCACTATGTACATGTTAGACACTTTTCTCTATCTCACATAATACCTAAATAATCCTTTACAGATTCAAAGAGATGAAGTGAGTAGCAGTACTATCAGAATTGGAATTTGAACTCAACACATATTTTGAGCACTAAGCTAATGAACCAGACACATGGCAGCTGCTAAGGATATAGGATGGTGATCTCAATCGTTAGCTCTTTTTCATATCTGGAATCATGTCGCTCTACCATGATCATCTCTGTCTCTTGTCACTTATTAGCTGACCTTCCTACTCAGCTGCTTTTCTAAGCAGCTTCTTTTCCTATATTTCAACTTAGCTCTTGCCAAAGAGAGATTATAGTAAATGTGTGTTGTTGTTATTTTTGTCCATTATCCCTAGCTAGTGTTTTCACAGTGGGGAGAAGTATCATTTCCCAGGTGACTTTGTGTAGTGCAAGGTCCCCCTAAATCTAAAAAGCCTAATTCTAGTTTTTTTCCAATTCTTAGGCACCTACCAAGTGAGAATAATTCTGGCTCTTGGCCGCTTCATCTGCTAAGTGCTTTTCTGTTAGAGCAGAAAGATTAAAGTGGGGAAAGAGATACTCTCTCATTGAGTTCAGGGGTAGGGTAACAAATGGTACAAAAAATTCTTCTACCCATTTTTCGGTGACCTCATCCCTGGCGTTGGGGAGCATCAGGAAAAAAAAAATCAAAGGTGTATATTTTGCGTCTAAATACCTTTAAATTAAAAAAAATGCATTTTGTCAACCACTAACATTAACTTGGGGACCTTGATTTCTGAACTCGTGTCACCCTCACCCTCGTCCCCCTTGGTCTCCGGAGAAGTAGCCATTATGCAGATTCCGGAGAATGGGAGCAGGGGCTGGACCAAGCCTGGTACTGTACCTTCCCTCTTTCTCAAACCTCCGCCGAGCCAGTCCGCATCGGTAACGCGAGACTGGTCTCCGTGATTTGTCAGTAACCTAGAGTCGAGGGACCGGAAGACTGGAGGCTGAGATTCCCAGGTGGGGTCAAGTGGGGTGTGTGCCCAGAATTCATTAGCGAGGGCAGGCCCCCCCACGAGACGTTATCTTTGGAAACAGTGTGGAGCTTCTACCGCTGCCCGCGCTTCTGCAGTCCTGGGCTGGAAGCGTGGTTAAATAGCCGCTCCCTCCCCAGGTATGCAGCCAGCATTCCAGGCTGCCTTCCCAACCTGGGGGAATACTGTCGGTGTCTTTCTTATTCACGAAGTACCACCTCTTTCCCAAGTCACGTTCGATCACAGGGAGCCGATTTTAAATCGATAATATAATTAAGTCCAGCCAGACGCATTCCTCGTCAAGTCGCAGGAACCTCAGGCAGGCCCACGGTACGTGGGACGGGTCACTCCGCTACCCGCTCCCGACTCCCTCCGCCCCTAGTCCCTACTCGGTCGTAGCCAAAGCCCGGAACGCTGGATCCCGGCCCGCATGAACGGGACGGCGAACGGGAGCTGCGCCGCCGGCCGGGAGCCCGTGGCACCGGGCATGCTCAGTGGCGCGGCCGGCTGGGTGGCCCCGAGAGCTGCACCCGGATCTGCTCGGCGGCGGCGGCGGCGGCGACGTGAGCGCGCAGGGGGGCGGCGGCCTCGCTTCGTCTCTCTCTCTGCGCCTGGGTCCGGTGGGTGACGCCAAGCGCGAGAGAGATGTCGGATTTCGACAGTAACCCGTTTGCGGACCCGGATCTCAACAACCCTTTCAAGGTGAGCGTGGTCCCCAGCAGTCTCCTGCCGCCTCGACGCGTCGTTGTTTGTGAAAACGACAAGTTCTTTCGCGCCCCCTGAGCCTGCCCCTCGGCTCCCCTCAGCCGCTTAGTTTCGGTGTTCAGGGCCGCCGCAACCCGTTTGGGGGTCGCGCCCAGGCCCTCGCACCCCTCGTTTGGGGGTTGGAGTGGAACGTCTTAAGCTCCTTCCCCCGCCGCCCCCTCCGCACATTCCCGACTGGCGAGGGTTTTACCCTAGTCTGGGAGTGGGCCCGCGCGTCGGGAGGGTTCCCGGATCGTCGCTCGGGAGCGAGGAGAGTAGAGCTCAGGGCAGGTGGAGTTGTCACTTGACAGGCGAGTGTGGCTGTCCGGGCCCGGGTTGGGGCCGGGAGGCAGCGGAAAGGGATCGTCCTCGGGTGGGGTTGTCATGGGGACCCGCGGCGGTGGCGAAGAGCTGCGTGGAGTGATGGCAGAGGTGTAGAGGAGAGGTGAGGGCACCGAGTACGCTGCAATTAGGAAAAAAAAAAAAAAAAAAGGTTGTGATTTTATTTTTTAAACTTGTGTTGCGCCCACGCACCACCAGCGGCGCTGCCATCCCCCTTCGCCCCATTTGGTTGGGGTTGAGGGTACTGATATCAAAGCAGGAGTTAAAAATAAACAAACACACCTGGAAAACAATAGTGCACGTGGACGACCATCTTCCTATCTAACTGCCGTTAGTAAGGTGAACGACGGGATGTTTTCCAAGCTCCTAGTGCGTCACCGGTTCCCTGGGCTGTGTGAGGATTGCATTTCCTACGTGAGCTTCTTTCTTTCTTGGAGTCAACCTTATCAACCCCAGCTTTGGAAGAGCTTGGCACAGAAACGGACAAATGAAGGAGGCTGAGATATTGTGTGCTTAAGCGAATGCAACATCTGAGTAAACCCCTATTTAAAAAAATATTCCAATTTTCTTGATGAACTCAGCTGCTTACACGTGTAATTTGTTTCCAACTCTTGGTCGAAGTTCATTAATTTTTCCTGGATATGTGCAATAGTCACCTTAATTTGTAGTCACACAAAACGAGAGAGTAACTTGAATTTGTGGTCACACAAGTGTCGCTTCTGGCTTGAGTTTACATTTTGTTACTTGTGGTTTTATCTCTTATTAAGAATTCTGGAAGGGGGTGGAGCATGTGACTCGATCCCAGGGTTGTGAGTTCGAGCCTCATATTGGGTGTATAGATTAATTAACCATAGAATCTTAAAAAAAAAAAAAAGTAAAAAAGTCATTTAAGAATATTCTATGCAACTGGCCTGGAACTTTCAGGCTTTAAAGCTGATATGGTTACACTTCAAGGAGAGCCCACCCTCTCAATTTAGTATTTGGTATTACATCATTCCATGTTGTGGAAAATATTGTTCTTTAATCATAGACATTCTGAACAGACATAACTTGCCAAATAGGTGTTATTTAAAAATATTTGGAAGGTATAACATTAAGAACCTATTACCTTTTCCTAATTCAGATAATTCATTGATACTGTTTATTCAGCATCTGACAGTTGGGCTGTTTTCTATTTGGTTATTCCATTTCATGGCTCATTTTATATAGCTAATTCTCTTGTTAGGGCAAGACACTTTTCTACTTAGCCTAGACTGCTCTTTTGTGACATCTGATGTTGCCATGACACTTTGCTTTTCTGCCATCCGGTACATTGTTGTAGTAATTCTAAACCCAAAAGTAGTTTTCCATACTCATTCATTGTGGCATAAAATTATAAACCTTTTTTGTTCCTTATAAGTGGATGCACTCACAGGACAGTGATTATTCATCCATAAAATGCTTCCAAGGGATGGATAATTTAGGCCTAGAGAAGACTTGTTTATGACCATACCCTGTTGTTGGCAACTGTCATAGCACTGTGTATCTGACCCTTTATCTTTCCTTTTGTGTCTAGCTGCCCTTTTTTTTTTTTTAATGTTTATTTAGTTATTTTTGCGAAATAGATGGTGAGCAGGGAGGGGCAGAGAGAGGGAGACAATCCCAAGTAGGCTCCCTATCGCATCGGTGCAGAGCCTGATGCAGGGCTCCAACTCACGAACTGAACTGTGAGATCATGACCTAGGTGGAAACCAATTGTCAGACGAGGCACTCCTGCCCTTCTTAAAGTAAAGGTTTGCCTCTGTAGCTTATTCTTTCTTCTTTCGGTTTACTTTTATGTAAGTGTGATTTTTGAAATAGCTTTTCTGGTCCTCTCTCCTTAAATATAAAAGTTCCTGGATTTATCATTTTAACTTAAGACCATCTTTCTTTTCAGATCTGTTCTAATTTCCAGTATTTCAGTAATCAAAAATTTCATATTTCCAAAATACATGTTTCACATTTGGCAACCATCCTGATTTCTTCTTGGTTAAAAAGCTGTTTGATTTCTATTGCTTTTTCAGTTCTTCATCATTTCTTTTCCTTCACTTTTATGTTAGAAGCACTTGTCATCATCTTCATTTGAACTGTCATGAAAATAATTTGGAGATAACCTCCTTAAATAATGTAACTGTGATGGCTTACAGAATTTTATTAGCTGCTATAAAATTGTTTGCTGGATTCAATTTATTTTTTTGAGCTCCTGCTTGCTTCTAGTGGTTGTGATAGGCTCTCTGAAAGAATTCATGGAATTTGAGTAGTTTTTATTGCGCATCAAGAAACTTGGAGTTTATTCATTTATTATTTATTCATTTATTCCATAGATAGTGAAGAAATATATATCCTTAAGGCTATTAGTCTAACATGTAGACAGACATGCTTCAGAAGTAAAATAGAGTAAAATAATCACCAGAGATCAATAATTTAATACGGTTCTTATAAGTCAGTGTAAGTGTATAAGTACCAGAATGAGTTGATTCAAAGGAAAGAAAGATTAATAAGTGGTAAGAAGACCTTCATATCTTTTGATATGCCTTACCATATTAATATGCTAATTGATTGGATTGGAAAACTCACTTTGGAAATAAATTTTTATGTAATTACAAAAAGTAGAACTTTCAAGTCTGGGAAGGGAAAATCTACAGTGACTTATTGAGATCTCATTCTTCGGACAAAAAAAAGCCCAGAGATAAGATATTTCACGTATAGCAATCATTCTAATTTCTTCTTGATTAAAAACTCATGATTCTCATTGTTAACTGCCCATTGTCTTATACCCAGGTGTAGGTGGTGTAGAATTGGCACTAGAATTTAAATCTTACTCTTAGCTGCTGATGGCACTCTCTTTGCTCATTGATTGCATTTCTGACACCAGATTCTTGTTTTGTATTTGGAGTTTGGACTTGAGGCTCTCATACAGAGACAGCAGAAGGACATATTTAAAGGTTTCTGCTCAAGAGTTTAAAACAACTCAGCATTTGATTCTGGCTTTGTCACTAGCTGTGATACCTTGGAAAATTGCTTACCCTCTTTATACCTCTGTTCTGTGAAATAGGATAATAGGATCTTCTCCATAGGGTTGTTAATAGGATTAGATGAACATATATTTAGTATGTAATAAGTGCTCAATGCATGGTGGCTTTAATTCGTTAATTACTAATAAGTAATAATAGAAATTGCCTTTAAACACATTTAACTATATTCTTAGCTTAGTGATTTAGTGACGTTGACACACAATGTTCCATTAGACTATGGTATATAACATATGATTCCACAAGTCTGTATATTATACTATGCTCACCTCAAGTGTAGCTACCATGTGTTACAACACTATTATAATATGATTGTGTTTACATTCTCTATGCTGTACCTCCCTAAGGCTTACTTATTTCATAAAAGTTCATGTTCCTTTACACTCTTTGAGGCTGCTAGTAGTGTTTGGCAGGTCACAGTTGAGGAATCATGGCCAAACAGAAGTGGGTTTGCTCTAGGTCACTGCTAGACTAGACCCAGGTTGCCTGAATTCTAGTGCTTTGTCACTTACAAAGGCTTCCCCCCTAAGAAAAGAACTCTATTCTTTTGGGCCTCAAAAATTCTTTCTTACAATAATCTCTTGAAAGTGGGCTACAATTCACCATTCCTTGTGATATTTAAGCTACAGTAATTCTAGTAGTTCTAAGAGTTGAGAACGAGTTGAAAATTGAAAACTTTATTGTTAAAAAGTGACCCGTAATTCAAGGATCCTATCTATTTTGTTTTCATTTATAGTTAGTTGATGTCACTCCTGTCTTATCCATTTAAAATTTATGACTGGATATTGGCTAGCACTAGGAAAGGATTGTGAGGATTTCTTCTGTGATAGTCTAACATTGCTAACTTTATCTTTCAGCTTTAATCTGGGACATAGTGATATTAATTTATGGTCTGTGGTATTTTGTGGTGATGCCAACTGCATAAGTTGGTACTTGATTTTCCTCACGTTGGTACTTTAAAAATTTTTTTTTCAACGTTTTTATTTATTTTTGGGACAGAGAGAGACAGAGCATGAATGGGGGAGGGGCAGAGAGAGAGGGAGACACAGAATCGGAAACAGGCTCCAGGCTCTGAGCCATCAGCCCAGAGCCTGACGCGGGGCTCGAACTCCCGGACCGCGAGATCGTGACCTGGCTGAAGTCGGACGCTTAACCGACTGCGCCACCCAGGCGCCCCTAACGTTGGTACTTTTAAAAAAGCATGTACTGAGCTGCTGATTATATTTCATCAAATTAAGATGCATCATTATTTACCATTGTCTCAGTTGCCTATTGCTGTATAACAATCCCAAAACTTAGTGGATTAAAACAACAATTATTTGCTCATCAGTGTGTTATTTGAGCTAGACTTAGTTGGGCAGTTTGTTTTTGAATGTTATTCCCTGGAATCACTTCGTCTCATCACTTATCTGGGGCTGTCACTGGGGGCAGTAATTGGTTCTTTTTTATGTGGCCTTTCTATTAGGAATAGCCTGGGCTTTTTCCATAGTAGTAGTGTTCCAAGAGGGCAAGAGGGGAAGCTAAAGGCTTCTTGAGTCATTTTTCTTCTGCTATATTGTGTTAGTCAAAGAAAACACAAAGCCAGACCAGATTAAAAAAGGAGTGGGAAGGATTACATTAGATTTTACTCCTTGATGGGAGGAGGTGTGTCCCTCTTGATACAGACCTAGGGAGTAAAAAGATATACCCAGCATAAAATGATGAGACAAATACAGGATGACCCCTGTAGACACTCCCATTCAAGTATGGGAGAAGTGGGAGACAGCTAGCAGTTGCTTGTCCCTGGCAAGTCTGAAATCCAGCCAGGCTCATTTGTCGGGGCCCCCTAATTTGGGGGCGATGAGTGTTTCTTGAATAGAGCCTTTTTCTGCTACCTAGAAGTCTTTGCCTAATTGTTGTTTTCTTCTGCTTTTGGTTCCAGTCTCTGATAAGTCCTCTTTTTCTGTAAGAAATGTTTGCAGCTGAGTAGCATTTTCAGTTTGCTTCTTATCCATTAAACGTTGGGAGTCCAGAAGCCTCTTTTCATTGAAATATCTCTGTTTTATATAGTCCAGGCTGGCCCAAATCTCTCTCTTTCTCTCTCTCTCTCTCTTTTTTTAACCAAGATTTAATGTACATTTATTCTTAACATGTGGAACATATAGTATAAAGATTTCATACTGAATAAATGATACTCATTAAGCCAAAAGAAAAAAGGAGGAATTTACTTCAAGTTTTAGCTACATTGTTTGAAATATAAATATGCAGATTTTGTCACTAAAAAATCTCAATTGTGTTTCTTCATCAGGAACTTCAACTGAACCTAGAACTATTTCACATGTCAA